CATGCACTTTTGAGAAGAATATGTATTCTACAATTGTGGGATGAACAATTCTGTAGGTAACAATTATGTCAATTTGGTCTGTAGTATCAATGACTGTTGTGTCTTTGTTGATTTTCTGTCCATTGCTCAAAGTGGAGTGTTCAAGTCACCATTACTGTTGTATTGGAATCTATGTCCCCCTATAGATCCATTAGCATTTCTTTTAAATAGTCAAGTGCCTTGTAATTGATTGCATATATGTTTATTATAGTTACATCTTACTGCTGAACTGATCCCTTAATTATTATATTGTGCCATTCTTTGCCTCTTTTAACAGTTTTTTTAATAAGGTCTATTTTTTTCTGATACTAGGATGGCTACATCTGCTCTTTTTTGGTTTCTGTTAGCATGGAATATCTTTTTCCATCCTTTCCCTTTCAGTCTGAGTGTATCTTTCTTGGAGAGATGTGTTTCTTGTAGGCAACAAATAGATGAGACTTGTTTTTTAATCCATTTATCCAGACTGTATCTCTTACCAGGAATGTTGAGGCTATTTGCATTCAAGGCTACTGTACATAACTGATGATTTGTCCCTAACATTTTTCCATAAACATTCCTATTATTTTCTTTGAATTTCCTTTGTACTTTTACTGGTAGATTTTCTGTGTTCATATTCTCTCATGATGACTATGTTTCTGTGTGTAGCACATCCATAAGCATCTTTTGTAATGCTGGATGAGTGTGGACAAATTCTTTCAATTTCTTTTTTGTTATGGAAGGCGTTTCTCTCGTGCACATTTAAGAATCTTTTGTTTATGTTTTACTGTAGAATCTCTTGTGCACATTTAAGAATCTTTTGTTTATGTTTTACTATGGAAAGTTTGACTATAATATGCATGGTGAAGATCATTTCTGGTCATGTCTTGTAGGAGTTCTATGTGATTTCTGTACTTGGACGACCCTTTCTCTCTCCAAATTAGGGAAGTTTTCTGCACTTATTTCACTAAATAGGCCTCCTAATCCATTCTCTTTCCATACCTTCAGGAACTCCTAAGACCTGTCTGTTGGGTCATTTGATAATATCCCATAAATCTCCAACACTGATTTTAATTTTCTAATTTCTGCTGCTTTTTTTTTTTTGGTCTGACTGTAAATTTTCAAGAGATTTGTCTATTTGTCTTCTTCTTGGATAGTCTTTCTTCTGCCTCACCAATCTGTGTTAAGTTTTCCACTTCATTTTTTATTTGATTTATTGAAGTCTTGCTTTCTAATATTTCATTTTATTCTTGTTAAAATTTCATTCACATTCTAATATATAAGAGTTGTTGTGTTCTTTTGTGGGCATCATGTTATCTTCCTTATTCTTGTTTCCTGAATTTCTGCATTCATTTTAGGTGCTTGTGGAGATAATTTTTGGTTTTTGTTCCACTGATGTCTTTTGTTTTGGGTTAAGTTCCTGTGGCTGAATGGTGTGTCTGCTCTTTCAGTGAATACCCAGGGGCATGTGCTTAATATGGCTAGGGAGTTCTGGTTAGTCCTCCAGGGTAGGGAGAGTATGTAGGGTTACACCAAAGTTGGTTGTGGTAGATCTTTATATATATATATATATATATATATATATATATATATATCAGAGGTAAGGGTTTGAAAGCTCTGTCTGCAGGTGATCAATACCTGGGCATAGTCTTCAGTGGGTCCAATTCTCATCTGTGCTGCAACACAAAGTATCTGTGCAATTACCAGTATAAATATAGATCCCCCTTGCAGTGACTCACCTCAGGCAGTCAGGGAGCCCTGAACATGTGGAGTCACCCACGGTGACCCGTGTAGTGAGGGTGGATTTCACAATGTATCTAATAACAGGTCTAGCTAAAGAAGCCATGTTCATTTACCAGGAACAAAAACGAGTTTAACCTTGCCTTTGTCATGGCTAATAGATATCCCAGAATAGAGAGCTTGCAATGTCTCTCAAGTCCTAAATACACAGTGTGTGGGCTGGCTGCCCCCTAAACATGGCTAACATTGGCCCACTCTTCCTGGAAAGTAGGGATACAAGGGAGGGCCATACTTCTTAATAGGGAAGGAAGTCTTGGCCTCTCAGTGTCCAGATGTATCAACTAGATAGCAGAAATGGCTGTTCATCCTTCCTCCTTCCAAAGACATCAAGTAACAGAGTTGGGCCATAGGCATCCATTGAAAGGCTTCACAGTTTAAGAAAGACAGGAGTAATTAGGAGGTAATTCAGAGCACAGCTGTCATGACAAGATTTGAGTATATGCATAGGATAATGGGTGGGGGTAGGTGGGTGGATTTGGGGTGATTTAAACCTGACAACAGAAGCCTGAATAACTTGTTACAGGAAGGGTATTTTAGACATTTGTAGGGTGCTTATATAGAGCACACCTTCTCAAAGATCCCCTGCCCTCTCCCACATTGGCAAGGCATTGTAAGATCACTTTTCCTTGGTCCACAAAAATAATCAGGATGAGGAAAGGCGCCGTGGCATAGTAGGTAAAGCCAAAGCCTGCAGTGCCAGCATCCAATATGAGCATGTGTTCAAATCCCAGCTGCTTTTCTTCTGATCCAACTCTCTGCTATGGCCTGGGAAAGGAGTGGAGGATGGCCCAAGTCCTTGGGTTCCTGCAACTGCACCTGCGTGGGAGACCTTGAGGGGCCTTCTGGCTCCTGGCTTTGGATTGCCCCAGCTCCAGCTGTGGCAGCCATTTGGGGAGTGAACTGGCTGATGGAAGACTTCTCTCTCTGCCTCTGCCTCTCTGTAACTTTGCCTTTGAAATAAAAAAAAAATCTTAAAAAAAATGAAAAAAAAAAAAAAAGTAATCAGGACAGTCTGCATAAGATTAGATTCTGTTCCTAGAACCTGACTCTCCTAAGTCCCAGTCTGCCACCAAGGACCAAGGGGAACAATTATTTAGCACACTATTTCCTTCCTTGGTTTGAAAGAGTCACACATCTATTGATCTAGAGGCCCAGACTATCTGTACTTTAGAAACAGTTAGAAGTGGCCTTAAAACAACAAATAGAAGTGTAAAATGAAGTTTGAAAAGATTTTAGTTTTAGCTGGCGCCGCAGCTCACTAGGCTAATCCTCCGCCTTGCAGCCCGGCACACCGGGTTCTAGTCCCGGTCGGGGCGCCAGATTCTGTCCCGGTTGCCCCTCTTCCAGGCCAGCTCTCTGCTGTGGCCAGGGAGTGCAGTGGAGGATGGCCCAAGTCCTTGGGCCCTGCACCCCATGGGAGACCAGGATAAGTACCTGGCTCCTGCCATCGGATCAGTGCGGTGCATCGGCCGCAGCGCACTGGCCACGGCAACCATTGGAGGGTGAACCAATGGCAAAAGGAAGACCTTTCTCTCTGTCTCTCTCTCTCACTGTCCACTCTGCCTGTCAAAAAAAATAAAATAAAATAAAAAAAGGTTTTAGTTTTAAAAATTCTGGGTTGATTAGTCAAAGGATTATTTGTATATAGAGCATGTCTCAAAAGTCTTCATTCAGGGCTGGTGCTGTGGTGTAGTAGGTTAAGCCTTCGCCTGTGGTGCCAGCATCCCACATGGGCACTGGTTTGTGTCTCAGCTGTTCCTCCTCCCATCCAGCTCTCTGCTAATGGCCTGGGAAATCAGTGAAAGATGGCCCAAGTGCTTGGTCCCCTGCACCCACATAGGAGACCTAGAAGAAGCCCCATGCTCCTGGATTTCAATAGACCCAGCTCTGGCTGTTGTGTCCATGTGGTGAGTTAACCAGTGGGTACAAGACCCCTCTCTGTCTCTTCCTTTCTCTCTGTAACTCTGCCTCTGAAGTAAATATATAAATAAATGTCTTCATACAGTTTAAGCTATACTAACCAGAAAAATAAGTGCTAAATATAGTCCAACATTGCTTGAAGTCATTATATATATTTATTTTACACTTATGTGTTTTGTGCCTGTTGAATTATGAGCCCCTCTGAAGACAGTAAAGGCTGAAACAAACAAAATAGTACTTAGCATTCATAAGACTAAACAAGTAAAATGAACCTAAATTTTGAATCTGGGTTGGTGTAAGGCAAAAGCAGTATAGCAGGTGGATTCGGTGATATATGTGATCTTAAGAGTATACATGTCTGGGTACAAGCAAAAATTCAGACTTTCAAGGCTGTGGAATTGGTGAGCTTTAAGTCAAGGGCACCTAATAGTAAAATGGACTCAGGTCACATGTGAATTATAGATAGAAATTTGACATAGGATAGGGGAAAGCATGGAGTTTGAAGATAGAGTGAAAGGGCTGGGCAAGCAGATCTACTGGGCTCTAGGAAGGGGCGGGGCTGTGGGCACATCATGATGTCATCCTCTCTAGCCTCAGATTCCCTTTGTGACTCATAATCTGTGATGCAGAGCTGGAATTATATAGTCAAGGGCTTGAACCCTCAACCCTCAGTTGCCTCTCAGCAGCATTGCGATTCAGATAATGGATGGAGTACGTCCTCTCATTTTTGAAGAGCCATTCTGAGCTGTGGCTGAGCTTCAGTTCGATTTTTATTGATAGCAGCCTCAACTACACTCTTATTAGTGGGTTGGGGTTGATCTTTTTGTACCTGAGCTACCTGGTATTAAAGCTATTTTTCACAACCATCTGGAAAAATAAGACCACCAAAAAGGTAAGGAACTATGGGTGAACTCCAAGAAGGATGTTGATGTTGCTGTTGTTTCCCATTTCTGTTCTCTCATATCTAAACGAGTTTGATTTCCTCATAGAGAATCCAGAGATGGGAAGTCTGAGGAAGGACACAGCACCACCTTCCTTTGGGGCAGAGGCTAGGCAGGGATAGGTTTGGGGGGAACAAAGGCTTACAAGTGAAGCTCATGGACCACCTATCTGGTATGGTGGAGGTTTCCAAGTTAAAATCCTACCTGTAAATATTAGTAATGTAAGTAATACATGTCTATAATTTAAAATGAAGAGACATTTGGGGTGGTAAAAAGAGGAAGAGAAGTGAAACTAGTACCTCATTCTTTACTTTTTGTTCTTAGTGTCGGGGTAGAGCCAAGAGGCGGCAGAAAGGTGGAACATTTAGAGGTAAGATTCTCTCTGTTCACATTGATCTATGCAAGGGTGATCCTTCCTGTTTTAGATCCAGGGCCTCTGAGAATGTCAGTTGCTATATACAGTCTGTCTGCGAAAACAGAATACTCAGAGGAGAAACTCCTGGAAAAGACAGTCATACCTGAGACATTTCTCAGAGTTCTTCCTTAGCCCACCTGTGGGCAGGAATCAGATGCATGGACAACAGTTACTGCCCAAAATGTGATGAGGTGAGAAATAAGTATGGACTACTAGTGTCATGTAGTCAGAACTTCAGTCTCCTGCCTTTATAGATGCTCTTTGACTTCTCGGGTACTCACATTCTTCACTGAGTACTCCGCTGATATCTGTGCTTCACGTGGTGAGTTTTGGCATCACACTGTATAACATATGTGAAAGTACTTTATAAATATTGCCACATACACATGCAAGTCTTATTATTATCATTGACAATCTTTCCATAACTACTGATTCTTGGAGCATTCAGAATTTATCCCCAGGGGCTCTCATAGAGGGATTCCTATATGATTCTTATTGCTTCTACTTTAATTACATATGTTCTACTCTCCTGATGTCCTAGGTTCAAGGATTAACAAGAAAGAAGCAGAGGAGGGATGGAAGCTTCTTTCTGTTTTGAAAAGGTGATTAATCTTTCCTCTTTTTTCCTGGTCCTTTTTTTTTAAAAAAACATGTTCCATATATTCCAGGGAATCAGTGAAGCCTGCCATTATGATGTGAGGCAGGTAGCCATAGGAACGGAATGTGATAAAAGCCTCAGGGAGGGGCTACAGAGTTAGTGTGATATCAAAAATGTGAGGTGATGGGAACAGTAGGCTTGGGCTATCCCTACCCCCACTAGGCCAGCAGACCCTCCTTTCCATGTTCTGGTCTTGACCACAGCCTTTTCTTCCTGTTTCCTGTAGACCCCAGAGCCAACATCAAGATATCACCAGCTTCCGTCACCTGCTGTGTCCAGACCCTCACTGTACGGTGTGTAACAGAGTGGCTGCCAAAGTCAGTCGACTGCTGTCGCTGGGGAAACTGATAGATGATACTTCCTCTGTGCATTATATGGCTTCCTCAGCTTCTGTGATTAAGACCTCATTGACTGTGACATCTGGCCACTCAAAAACTCATCCAAGAGGCCAAAAGTCAGCCTCTTTGCGTGTGCCATCTCCACCTCCCCCTTCTACTGTCTCACTTAACCATGTTGCTTCTTTACCTGATTTACTGTCCCCCGACCCACCAGCTGACTCAGTACCATCAGAGCCTATTCCTCCCTTGGCTTCAAAACTCCCAGTGGACCCTTTCCCACCCCAACCTGTTGCTCTTTGCCCTCCCACACCACATCACTCTCAGAGATCAGATCATGATCTGCATCCAGAGATTGCTCTGTCTGTAATGAATAGCCCTGATGGGTTGTCAACTGATATTCCAACAGTCAGTGAAATTGACCATTCAATGCCAGAATCATCCTGGCAGCAGGACGAGGTCAAGGATGCCAAAGACTTGTCCTCTTCCAACGTAGAACAAGATAGTATCAAGCATGAGCTTGTTGATGGCCAATCTTCTGAGACCTCTTGCACAGAATGTGCATCCAACTTTGTAGAACCCACTAACTGCTTGTTACTCAGCCATGACAATCTGGCACTCTTGGAGAAACAAGTAAGAAAGAGGGGTGACTTCCTGATCCAGAAGGAAAGGGAAAATAAAATGCAACCATTTCTAAAACAACTTAGTTCAGACCACCAACTGAATACTTCAGAGTCAAGTGCTGATAGACATGAGTCAGCAGTCAGTCCAGACCACCAACTGTATATATCAGAGCCAATGGTAGAGTCAGATGCTGATAAGCATGACTCAGCAGTCTCCCTTTATTTTGGAAACAGCAAAGGCAAACCAGAGGAGCTGCAGATGAACCAGCAATACTTTTGGGGTCTTCCATCTTTGCACAGTGAGTCCTTGTGCTCAATTATCCGTCATTCAGATGACTGTCCCTCTACTTTGGTCATCTTTAATGGAATCTCCAAAGCTTCCACATCTCAAGGATCTTTAGGACTTTCCAATTTCCAACCTCTGATCTTGCCTGAGATCCAAACTCAATCCTCAACTAAAACTGTCTCCCAATCACAGTCACAACATGCTACTCCGGCACAGTCTCAGTCCAACCTTCAATCTCCAATCTCAATGTTACCAACATCTCCCGATTTCCAGCTTAGGATCTGTGGAGTGTGCTTCCATAGACCTCATAATGAGGCACAGTGTCTCATGCAATCTGAACTTCATCAGCTAGAATACAATGTGCTACAGAAAGAACAGGAACGTTTGTGGGGTTTACCCTCTGTGGTCAAAACATCTCGGGAATACCTTTGTCCTCCCCCTCCCAATGTTTCATTGGTGAGCCAGTCCTCCAAAATCCATGTTCCAATCTCCATCATTCCTGGAGATTACCCTCTGAGCAGTGAGCTTCGTAAGAAATTTGAGTACCACCTTAGAAAGAGACTCATTCAACACCGATGGGGCTTACCCCGCAGGGTCAATGAGTCTCTGACACTGATTAATCCTGAGAGAGATGTTCCTGAAATACATGCATCAAAGAGTCTTCACAGACTCAAATGGATATCTTTGTTGAAGGAACAGAGTAGCAACAATTTAAGGAATTCTGAATCGAGCCAACTTCCAATCTCCGATGAGACAAGCTCAGAAGAGTTTCAGTCAGATAACGAAGAGAAGGACCATCAGAGACACAGCCCAAAGAATGGCCCTAGTGATCATCTATTGAGTGACCCAGAAGGATACTCAGATAACAGTTTAGGGTCTGACTCTGAGAAAGATCAAGGAAGTCATACAGTGAGTCTGTATGGGAATGATTCAAGGGCCTCAGGGATAAGTATAAATCAGAAACAACTAGAAAATGCACTCAAAGAACATTTAAATAAGAAAAGTGAAGAAATAAAAGAGGGTAGACTTCCTGAGACTGTTCATAGTTCATGGCATGCCCTTAAGCAGACAATATCTTTTGCTGAGAAATCTCACAGTGAAAAACAGATAGATGGGGCATCATCTGTGAGAAACTTTAACTTGAACACTTCCCAGGAGATTTATTTCTTGGCTTCTGGCAAACTAAAGATGCTGGAAGACCATATAAGCAGTTTCTACATAAGGATGAAGTATGGCCTTCCCACCAGGGTCCTTGAATCCATACACATCTTCAGCAACAGAGAGGACTCATCTTCTTCCTTAGGCCATTCCTGTTGTTCCTCCCAAGATTGCCTTAGTTCTGGGATGCATTCCAAAGTTATGGTATCCAGGTCACTCGGTAGGAGCTCTACAGCTTTGTGTAGAGACAAATTGAAGATGAGAAAGTCAGCACCCAATCTGGATCATCTGCTTCCTGCTGAATCACCTGTTGGGAAGGGAGGACAGGGGGACCTGAGACCACTGTCCCCAAAGGGAAAACAGGAGCTTTATGGCAGACAGACTTGTCCGTGCATCACAGACAAAGAAATTAAGAAAGAGACTGGACCAGACAATAGACACAGCCCAGTGCTGGTGTCCACAAGTCATGATGGGACTGGACCTGAGCCAAAGGATAAGAGAGTGAGTTCCAGCAACAAAGAAAGGCTTCAGGCTCCCAAAGTAAAGACTTCAGAATACTTCCCAAGGTTTAACAAGTCTAGAGAGATATTTAAGGCAAAGGAGCTCCTTGCTCTTCGATCAAAATCTGCCAATGCTTTGACAACCAGCAAGTCAGGGGACTTTGCAGCAGTAGATGAGAAAACAAAGAAAGAAAAAACTACCCTGGCTACTGAAATTCCCTCACCAACATCAGTTTCCCAGGATCCTAAACTATCAGACTTTAGAAAGCACTTGCTGAGTGAATTAAAGTCAAAATTGGAGGACAGGGATCATAGCCCTGTTCAAGGCCAGTCCACAGATACGGCTGATGCCTCAGATAACTTGATTTCCAAAACCTTGCTGACTCATGCCCAGGGTGTCTCCAATGGGAACATGGCAGGTTCTCAGGTTATGCATGCACATTTGGACAACACACCAGTCAGCATGGAACAGCATCAGGAGCCCTGGGTCCCTAAGCATATCTTGCAGAACTGCTGGGATAAGAATGTCCCTCCAAATTCAAAGAGACTGCATCATTTGCGACCAAAAACAGGAGAGCTTGGTGAAGGGGATGCAGGGTTGGGGACACCACAACCCAGTAGGAAGAGCTGCCCTGGTCAAGACAGGGCATTGAAGAAGATGTTTGGAAGCAGATCTTCCCCAACCTCGTCACTGAAGGATCAGCCTCCTCCTGAAAATCTGTTCCAAAAACAGATAAAAAAATGTTTGCAATGGATTTGTCCTAGCAGCACAAACAAAGGGCAAGAAAGTTTCCTTGGAAAGGGGACTTCCCTACCATCGTCTGTGCAGAGCCAAAGCAAAGTTAATAGTAGAGCTGCCTCTACTGGCAACACCAAAACTCTGCAAGTGAAGACACACATTGGCAAGGTGTTAGATGTGAAACCAGGGAGTAGCCATGGTGTCAGAATCACCTGCCCCCAAGAATCACGTTTCTCTCCGACAAAGCCTGTGAAAACTCTTAAGGCACAATTGCAGGCCCAGGCAGATACTGTCCAGGGACATCCTTTTAACTATAAAGCTTCTTCCTATAATGTGAAAAGTACCAAGGCATGTAGCCAAAAAGCACCCTTGGCTGACCAAAATTACCCATTGAAGAATGTACTGACCACAGACAGGGTGAGACGGTCCCAGAAAGTCGTGGCATTCAAGGATCAGCCACTATCGCAGAGGCATCTGGCATCCATGCCCAACAAAGAGTTCCTGCCCCATCCAAACCATACCTGCAGGCATCTAGCCAGCCAGGTGTCTCAAACCACACCTACATTTTCTGAAGGCACTGTATTGGGAGATCTGTCTCTACTCTTCAAACATAAAATGCTCCTGCAGCATTTCCAGGGTGGAAGATTTCTTCCTCCAAAATAGTTTATCCCTTGTTGAACACACTGATTTTCCACAATAAATATTCTAAAGATTGTTGTCTTTTATGTGTACTATTTTGGAGACATGGGATTTAAGTAACATAGGGTTTATACCAGTCCACTGGAGCTCTAGGGGGATGGTTATCAAGTGCCCCTTAAGGCCCTTCCGTCCCCGGAGAAGTCTGAGTACATGTGCTGTTTCCTAGTCTGTACGATAGTTTGGCAGCCCATATACCCACCCCCTCACTGACTATTTCTTGGCCTCTGGAGGAATAAGGGAGGTAAGTCATCATATCTGAAGAGGGTCAAAGTCACATATCTTTTCTAGAAAATTGTGCTTAATCTTATTTTTTTAAAAGACAATATTGTCAATGACTAGAGCATGACACAGGTGAGTGAACTTCACCTCAGGCGTGGTTGAAGATTATTGCCATAGTAGACATGGGACTGATTGGGTTAAGGTCTAGGAACATTATTATTGTTGGTTGAGAATCTGTCATGAGTGGTATAGTAATGCATTGGGAAACCATACTTTGGGGCATTGATGTTTTCCTACTGGAAAATAAGCTTATGAAGGTAGCTCCCTGCCCTGGGTATTTCTTCAGGTTGGCTGAATTGATTACATTTTTGCAGGGTAAAATAATCCCCTAGATATTGGTGGTGGGAATGTGGAACAGTTACTTAACTGCTAGGGCAAAGTAAGGTTGAATGTAAGGACAAAATTCCTTAGAGTAAGTGGGAAATTATGGGAAAAAAATGAGTAGGAGAGAAGAGATGACCTTTCCAATAGAAGGAAATTTATGTCCCCTTATCCCCACCTCATGATCCTTTTCTACTATCCCAATCTGACCCAGGCACCACTTCCATAGGGCTGATAAGGGGCTGCAGAGATTACTCATGCTACATCAGAATGTACATGGTGCTCTTCTTTGAGTGCTAGAATTGTATTCACAGGGCTGTTGTCATCATGGCATCCCTTTAGGAAAGCTGGTTTTGGTGCTGACTTTCTATTCACACATGACAACTACTGCCAGATCTGCCCTTAGTGTATCCATCACCTATCTAGTTGGAGATGCCACCTTTGATCTTGGTGAGGTAATGGAGTTATGATGGATTCCCCCAGAATACCTCTAGGCCATGATCCAGAGGTGAATACTGGTCGATGAATCAGGGTAACATATTTGAGGGGCCTCCTTGCACTGCCAAATAATGATCTTTTTGACCAAGACTGAGCATATCTGTACCCTTAAAATAGGGATCTAGAAGGATGGACCCTCCACTTACACAAACTGGGAATCAAAATTGGATGAATGGGGCCAGCATTGTGGAACAGTGTATTAAGCTACCTGTTGTGATAACAGCCCATATCAGAGTGCCAGTTCTAGTCCTGGCTAGTCTACTTTCCATGCAGCTCCTTGATAATATGACTAAGAGGGTGGCAGATGATGATTAAAGTGCTTGGGCCCCTGCCACCCATGTGGGAGACCCAGATGGAGATTTGGGCTCGTAGCTTTTGTCTTGCCTAGCCCCAGCCATGACAGCTATTTGGAGATTGAGCCAGCAGATGGATGATATGTGTCTCTGTCTCTCTTTCATTCTGTAACTCTGTCTTTATTTTTAAAAGATTTTTTTTTAAATTAAGAGCTACAGAGAGGGAGGGAGGGAGGGTGGGAGATAATCTTCCATGTGCTGGTTCACTCCCCAGATGGCCCCAAGAGCCAGTGTGAGACCAAGCTGTAGTGTGAGACCAGGCTGAAGTGAAGAGCCAGGAGCTTCAACCATGTCTCCTGCATGGGTGGCAGGGTCCAAACAGCATCCTCCACTGCTTCTCCAGGCTATTAGCAGGGAGTTGTATTGGAAGTAGAGCAGTCAGGACATGAATTGGCACCCATACGGGATGCCCGCACTTTACCTGCTAACACTACAACACCAGCCCCACACTCTGCTTTTCAAATAAGTAAATGATAAACAAAACATTGGACAATTTCCTAGAAGGCACTTAAGGTCGTTTTTACAGTAAAAAGTTGGAAATTCTTGGTGTCAAAATAAAACAAATATAAAACCTGTTTACTGCAGCCCCCTCCACCATAATTCTATCTTCTTATCCGGAGTTAGGCCATTTAACCTTCATTGTCTGAAGCCTAACTCTGCAGAATCTGTGGAGATCCTGGGATGGTAAAAATGTGGGATGAGGCCCATGGCAAGGAACTGGAAGAGGTGGAGATCAGTGGAGGAACTAATATCCATGTGGATTGACAAACCAATAACTTGGAGACCTCTACTCTTCCATCTAGAGTCTTACTCCAGTTAAGTTACTGCCGCACCCCAGAGTTTACCACTGGAATGTAATATAGTCTAAGCCAAATTAGGTGCACAGTATTACAGTTCCTTAACCACACAGACAACATAACATTAAAAGGAACTGAGGCCGGCACCGCAGCTCACCAGGCTAATCCTCCGCCTTGCGGCGCCGGCACACCAGGTTCTAGTTCTGGTTGGGGCACCGGATTCTGTCCCGGTTGCCCCTCTTCCAGGCCAGCTCTCTGCTGTGGCCAGGGAGTGCAGTGGAGGATGGCCCAAGTACTTGGGCCCTGCACCCCATGGGAGACCAGGAGAAGTACCTGGCTCCTGCCATCGGATCAGCGTGGTGTGCCGGCCGCAGTGCACCGGCCGCGGTGGCCATTGGAGGGTGAACCAATGGCAAAGGAAGACCTTTCTCTCTGTCTCTCTCTCTCACTGTCCACTCTGCCTGTCAAAAAAAAAAAACAAAACAAAAAACAAAAAAAAAAAACCAGTACAAGTGGACAAACCCTGAGATTGCTAAGAAAATGTTTTCAAATATTTAGAAGAAATTTTTTCCTTTTACGTATTTAAAATAAGTTATTTTGCATCCAGCTATACTTAGTAGATGAACTATACTAATAATTCATGTCCTTCCTAAAATGCCACTAAACGTAAAGGATTATAACAGAAGTTCCTTGATTTCATTATTCATAAAGGAAGTAGAAAACCACTATGAAATGCTATGTCACACCTACTAGATTGATCACAATTAACCAGATAACTGGGGTATGCATTTGGCACAACGAGTTGAGGCACTTCTTGGGATGCTCACATCCCACATCCAAGTGTTATGTTTGAATCTGGCTCTCTCATCTCTCTCTCTTTTTTTTTTTTTTAAAGCAAATATGTGTTTCTTATGGCTTCTTCTTTAAGATTTATTTTACTTATTTGAAAGACAGAGTTACAGAGGTGTAGAGAAAGAGAGGTCTTCCATCTGCTAGTTTACTCCTCAGATGGCTGCAATGACTGGAGCTGCGCCAATCTGAGCCAGGAACCAGGAGCCTCTTCTGGGTCTGCACGTGGATGCAGGGGCCCAAGGACTCAGGCATATTCTACTGCCTTCCCTGGCCATAGCAGAGAGCTGGTTCATAAGAGGAGCAGCAGGGACAAGAACCGGCACCCATATAGGCTGCTGGTGCCCCAGGCCAGGGCTTTAACCCACTGTGCCACAGTGCCAGCCCCTCTTCCTCCTATTACCTAACTTCCTGCTAATGTGAACTCTGGGAGGCAGCAGGTGATGACTCAAGTATTTGGGTCCCTACCACTCACTTCAGTGATCTGGATGGAATTCCAGTCTGTTAGCTTTGGCTTGGCCCATTGTTACGAGCATTTGGGCAGAAAACCTGCAGATGGAAGATCTCTCCCTATCTGTTTCTCTGTTTCTGTTTGTCTCCCTGTCTTTCAAATAAAATGAAAACAAATAAATAAAAACTGAGGAAAAAAAGCAGTTACTAAGATTTGAGAAAATATATAGAGATACAAAGTCTTACATACTGCTAAAGAGAATGAAAACTCTGTTTTGGAAAACAGTTTGACAGTTTTTTAAAATAGTAAACACCCTGGCTCCTGCCATCGGATCAGCGCGGTGCACCGGCCGCAGTGCACCGGCCACGGCGGCCATTGGAGGGTGAACCAACGGCAAAGGAAGACCTTTCTCTCTGTCTCTCTCTCTCTCACTGTCCACTCTGCCTGTCAAAAAAAAAAAAAATAGTAAACACAGAGTTGCCATTTAAGCCAGCAGGTTTTCTCCTAGGCATTGTACACAAGTGAAATTAAAAATTATGCACACAGAAATGGCACATCAGTATTCACAGCAGCAGCATTCATAGCAGCCAAAATGTGGAAGCCACACAAATGTCCATCAACTGATGAATGGATAAGCAAAGTGTGGCACATATATACAATGAAATATAATTCAGCCATAAAAAGGAAACATTGATCAATGCTACAAGAAGAATGAACCTTGAGAAACATTAACCTATGTGAAAGAAGTCAGTTGCAAATGACCACATTCCATCCTTATGAAATATCCAGAATAGGATAATTGATAGACACAAAGTATATTAGTTGTTTATGAGGGCTGGGAGATGAAATGCGAGGGGTTAATAACTAAAGGGTATGCAATTTTCTTTTGAAGTCATGAAATTGTTTTAAAATTGGTTCAGGTAATGAATGTTAAACTGTGAGAAAAAAATCTGTGAATTATATATTTTCATGGATATATGCATTAATTTCAATACAACTGTTAGCAAAAAAAATTTTTTTTAAATAATTTTGAGGATGGCGAGAAGGGGAGAGGGTCCCACAAAAGAGGATAAACAGATGTGGAAGAAGGAAATCCAGTAGAGAAGGCAATAGAAATGGCACAGAAGAAAATCTAGAAATCAATTCACATCTTAAAAGCCCAAGGACACATGACGTCGTACCATGTAAGAACGAGATTAGTGGTTACATGCTGTAAACATGGTTTCATAAAACGTTGATTCTCTTTGGTTTTACATTATGCATCATTAGGAAAAAACTCTTTCTTGGATGCTCCTTTCCAGTATTATGCAAAATCATGCTGAAACATTAACTGCTTCAAATGCAGACCCCAGGATTTTGCCTGGGGCAGAATCTGAGACAACTGGCTGTATATAGCTGTGGCAGCTGTGGGAATGAAAGGTAAAAATCACTAAAGTTAGGTAAAACTCAGGAAAACATAGTCAAGA